TACACAATATATCAGAAATAAACACTTGCACTACTTCTGGACTGCAATGCACATCCATGCTTTTTGGTTCGCTGTAGCATAGGGTCACATGCCACGCATTGTGATGCAAGTGCATGATTGCACTCCTTAAATGTATATGCATAGGTGTGAATAGAGCCTCAATGCACATTGTAAATTGTTGCCATCTTACATGCCATAGCAAATTTTGAAGACCAATGTCCTTTCATTAACGGCCCATGCACATCTATACATTACGGCACATTCGGCAATAGTGCCTTGCCATTCATTTTCAATTACACCACAAAAACTATGGCAAGATGCATTCGGTGCATATGACTTGCAGTGCACATTAACATATGGCATTGCACTGCTTAAAAAAACAAAAAAATTAAAATAGAAAGAAATGGTGCAGGCCATTTTTAGGTCAGTTGTAGTGCATTGGCAGCCCATTAAAATGGCCTGCCCTAACGCAGCACATTAAAACACCCGTGTGCTATCACGCCACATCAGATTGCCCTTAATGAGTATTGTAAATTGTGATTTATTACTGTCCCACCAAAATACTGCAATATCATTATTGATATACATTTTCTATCCCCTTCTATTCATCGGTGTTACGAAGTTCGAAATAAAATACTTCAGAAATTAATTGGAATAAATGATTTTTTTTTCAGCGGCAAAATTACATTTTCTGGTGATCAAGGAGAAGAATGAGCATTCCTGACTGGTCTGATAGCCCTGCGCAAACAATACGCAGCCAGACACCAGCAGATGAAAAGCCCCATCACTCAAGGCTGGCTGGCAAGTTGGGCACCCCCTGTCTGGATCTTTATCCCCCTCTCCCCCAAATCTTGTCACAGCTCATTATGGTCATGCGATGCGACTCTTACTCTGCTGTGCAGGTTATCCTGGAGTAGAGCTTGCTGCAGAGAGGGGGCCACTTCCTCCAGCTGGAGCATATGACAAAGGTCTGTCAGCTCTTCCTGTCCCAAAGACCCTGTTCCAGTGGTGTCAAAACTGTCGAAGAGTTCCTTAAGGCGAGCTTCATACTGGTCCTGCTCCATCCCATCGCCCAACGCTCTGTCCTGCAAGACAACATGGAGGCCTGTGAACATGGGTATAAAAACTTTCATAAAAGCAACATGAATACCAAATAGCCAAGTCATTATTAGGTTTTCCAGGTTCACACGTGTTGTGGTGACACTGAAAAAAAAAACATGTAATGCGTCAAGCATAGTGCAAATCACTTTGATGTGCGTTGCATTGTGGTGGTCAGCAGGGTCACCAGAACTAGTGTCCCCATTGGAATGTTCTCCATCGATTCCAGTTCTGGTGACAACCCAAAATTTGGCATCATTTTTAGTATTAACGTTTACCATGAACAAAATGTATGGAGGAAGAATCTCCCAAGTGGACACACAGCCGGCAATACAAACCTGACATATATTCTAATCCCTCTCCATTCTATCCAAAACTAAAATAAAATGTTGGCCTCAGTTGCACTTTAACGGAATCTGAGGGAATTAAATATGAAAACTGCAATTGCCAACACTGGGATCGAGAAGGAAAGGCTTGGAGTGCTGGATCTTCAGTGTGTTCAGGGATTTGGGTTAGGCACTCATGGCTTTAAAGAGGACTAGGGGAGTTGCCTCAGACAAAATCCAAGAGATTTAGGAGAAGGAGCACCAGAATAATGGTTAAGAGTCTTAAGAGTTTAATTTCAACATAATAGATCTGAATGAAACAAGCCAACTCATATCTGAATGAAACAAGCCAAATGCGTTTTGGAGAGAGTCTAAGAGACTGCCTTATCAGGGCTGCTGAAGCCCATTTCCTGTAGCCTTCTAACCCATTTGAGTCTGTCATCACTTCAATCTTGACCGGTATAGCGAGCTTTCAATGAAGGAAGTCACTTAGAACCACCTTTGGATTGTTTATTTTGAACATACTATGATAAAGTAAAACTATTCTGATATTTAATCATTGGCCCAATGCACCTTCTCTCCCAAGTCTCCTGGACAACTGACTTGGGGAGGCTTCAAGGCAGTCAACCTTTTTCTTGGCAAACCCGGAACAATCATACAGGATGCTTACTTTTTTTTCAGGTCAATACCAATATATACCTGGATACTTGCCCCATGACTGACCTTGGTGACCTGGAACAAGCACACTGGAGCAGCAGGAGGAAACTAAAAACCCAGAAGAGCATACAAACTCCACACATGTGGATCCATAGTTGTACCGGAGCCCGGAACTCATGAAATGTACAGACCAGAAGCAATGCTACTGCTGATATTTAAACCGCTACCATTCACAAATCACAGCAGGCCCAATACTTGAAAGTCATATTTCCAGGGGAATAAGATAAATAATTTAACCTGCAGACGTCAAGGAGCAAGAAGGTTATGCACGCTCTGTGCTTTCTCCACCTTACCATAGATCAACGACCTACATAATCTTTACCATTCCGTTTCTGACCAAGAAAATCCAAATCTTTGCACAGATGCTTGTCTTCCCACAATCCCGCTTAGCAACCTGGATGGGATTTGAAACAAAAGCGCTCAGACACAACGTGTCCCCTGCTCTGGCAGAACACAGGATGATCAACGTATTACTGCACATAGAACAGAATATACTCGGCAGCAATAGCATTTATCCTGCAATTATTACAGGTTTTGCTCAATAAATACGGACGGTCGTTTTCTTAACAGGGTCATTCGTATTCTATCCAGTGCAGTCACAATCACCCAAAGACCATATAATGCTAGAAATCAGAAAAATTTAAAAATATGTGGCGGTTTCTGTACAGCAATCAGATGACGGGTTTAAAGTAAACTTAATTTTATTAAATGGTTTACGCCGGGGCTGGACAAATCCCAGGAGCCAGGCAGCCTATGCGCCTTAAAAACTACAGCTGGTGCCTAACATTTGAGGTTCACTGTTGTTAAATGGAGCTGGCTTCTAAAAAAATCCAGCTGGCTCCTGGACTGGACAGACTGGCTACTGAATGCCATGTTAGCCTGTCTGACCTTGGTTTACGCTAAAGGAAAAAATGTCAAGTTTGTAGCTGCAGTGTTTTGTTGAACGGATTCTTTGTGCTGCTGGAGTTACGTGAAGACCTTATGTAAGTAGCAGTATTTTGTTAACCCGATTCTAAGTGCTGCTGGAGTTACAGTAAGACCTTACATAAGTTGCAACTATCTAAAAGCCAATAATGGCATAGGCGGAAGCACTACCCATCACCCAAATCCATTCCAGTCCTCGTGAAAGGTGGTTCCCGTTGTGGGATGCGAGAGGGGTATACCAACTCTTCCCCCAAGCTCTGGAGGTCCGCTAGATTGAGGATGCTCCAGTTAAGCTAAAAGCTCTCTAGAGCTGTTCCAGGTATCAGTCTGTGCCTTATGATGCATACTAAAAAGTCTTAATTTCAAATCAAATAGAAACTGTATGTTGCCCATTTAGAGGAAATTAAAAAACAGGCTTAAAGAAGAACTCCATGATTTATTAAAATGAACCCCTTGCAGTGGGACTACCCCCACACTGCAAGAGTTACCTGGATATTTTGGTCTAGGGACAAAAATAAAGATATACCGACTTGATCCTTGGTTTCGCCTGGCTGCTAGACCAAGCGGGCCCCACAGGATCTTCTTCCCAGGTTCTAGCGTTCTAAGAACCCGTTACGTCATCACGTCTAAAGCAGTCCAAATATGCATCTTTATAAACACCCCAGGGGCCTGTTAACGGCATCAAAAGGCACCCTAGTGGATTCTCCAGATCCCCCAGATCTCCAGAATTCCCCTTATCAATGACAATGGTGTCACCAGGTAAGGACATCTCCACAATGGTGACATTAAGGCCTGTAAAAGGATCCAACTCTTACCTGTTCTATCTAAAATGGAAGGCCGGAGTTTAACTTTTCCCTTTCTGTAACAGTATCCATCGCTTGCAATCAAGCAGGCAGCCACTATAGGGTTAATTTAATCAACTCCTTTAGAAATGATCAAAAGCCGTTTCCTCCTCTTCATAGCGAGCCCGTGATTGCATTACACTTTCATAGAGCACCTCTCTGCCAGCCACATTTGAACCGATGCCAACGAGCGCAATGTAATTAGCAATCATGATTGAGTCATTGTACTGAAATAGCAACGGCTCTGTGAATCCTTATTGTGACTAGCAAAAATATAGGAAAAAAATGTTTTTTCCCCCTTTCTGGGCTGTAAATAGATTAAACAGGATAAATAAAGTACATTTCAAAGTCACGGGGACACTGAAAAGCCTTTGTTGTGAAGAGCTTAATAATCAACACATGATTAGATCACACATTTTTCTGAAAAAGAAAGAAGCCGCAAGCAATATCAGAGTAGGGTTACGTCACCAGTCTCTAGTGAATGTATAGGCTACATGCTAGGTGATGCCACCGGTCTCTAGTGAACAGATGGGCTGCTTGGGTGATGTCCCTGGTTTCTAGTGAATAAATAGGCTGCATTCCCAGTGATGTCACCAGTCTCTAGTGAATAAATAGGCTGCATTCTCAGTGATGTCACCAGTCTCTAGTGAATGGATAGGCTGCATTCTAGGTGATATCACCGGTCTCTAGTGAATGGATAGTCTGCATTCTCAGTAATGTCACCGGTCTCTAGTGAATGGATAGGCTGCATTCTCAGTGATGTTATTTAGTCTATAGTAGCTGTATTCTCAGCAAGTCACAGCCAACACCATGGGTATTTCCTTTAGCCAAAGAGTGTAAAGGAATGATTTGCATGGATCCAGCCACTATCTCAAACAGGAATAATCCCCTAAAATATTTGCTATACGTGAGACATGTGAATAAATTCTGTTCTAAGAAAGCTCTACTGTGCTAGGCACTGGTTTACTAGGGGCCTTTCTGTAATAATGCCTTGTTAGAATTGCACTGTGTTTAAAAAGACAAAGGCCAATTGATGGATAAAAATTGCCATATTATAATGAAAGTCAATCTGCTGATCATTTCATAGCTTTGGATAGAGCAGGGAAGGGTGAATAAGTCTGCTAGGTTTTTGCTACTCTCTGGAGATTTCCTCTCCTGGTGTAAGGGTCAGTTCACAAAAAGTGTTGGGGCCATGATCAGCGCATCAGCACTGTTCTCACCCATCGCACATCGGAAATTTCTATTTTGGGTAAACAGACCTAGACTGAAGACCTCTAAATGCTGCTGGATGCCTAAGTGTACATTCAGTCATAGAAAAGCATTACATGATTCCAGGTGCATTTAGAGAGGAGCGCCATACGCACCTGAACTCAGCGTTTCTGGTACGCAGTGTGCAGGCCTTAAAGGAGCCTTACAAGATGGGAGCGGCACAACCAGGTTCAACCATAACGTTCACATTTGCTCATAAACGTCAGCTGCCTAGATCCCTGGATCTGCTGATCCCTTTCACATGCCCATATTTGTATCAAGTTTACATTAAGAGATTCTTGGCACCCCAATGGCACCACCTGACCTTCTGAGTCGCACTCTCTTCCCGTTATCTCTCATGTCACATGGGCACCGAGCACCCTGGGGCTTATCCATTATGCATATGACAATTTTTTTTTTTTTTATTCCTTTACGCTCACCATCCACATTAATTAACTGCACGGCACAGCAAACAACCAGAACTGCGAACGCAAACACACCCCGCAGCAGCAAACATTTATGGAGATGGCAATTTCATGTGCATAAATGGCATTTGCAAAGATTAAAAAACCAACAGGAGGGTTCAGGCAAGGAACGGCATGACCAGAATGAAAATGAAGAAATCGAGAGAGGCCGCCGTACCAATCAGCTGATATTTCAGAGCTTCCTGTCAAATTGAGAGGTTAGTTAGGTCACTGGGAACCCGCAACGGCCCCGGTTATTATATCTGCATTAAATCCAGTTTAAGGGTTACTTCAGGAAAACAGATTTTAAAAAAGCGCAGCAGAAAACACAAACAGGAACCATTTTATCTGCTAAAAAGGTTTTGTAGCGTGCTCAGACTCTTCGATCATAGAAGCCAAGAGGTCACCAGCACACCAAGGCCCACAGTATTGACACATCCTTTACTGACGCAAGATAAACATGATAT